AGAGGGAGAAGCATGGAAGGAATGGGGTAATGCTGTGCCACTAGGTGTTGGGTGGCAGAAGAGAGGGGACATTCTAACACTTTAGGACCTGTACAAACCAAGAGAGTACCAGGACTGACTGGCTCAAGGAAGCTGGAAGCCAGGCAGTTCAGGAAAATTGGACAGACAGCCAGTGACCTGTTCAGCCTGCCCACTGTAAAGCCGTGGCTCTGCGTCCTTTCATGCCCTTAAAACAAGTCTATACATACACTGATATGTATTCTCAGACATTATAGAGGATTGGGAAGGGTTTTTTTAAACTTACAAAATTGTATCCAATTCCATACCTGTGCAAGTAAGTTGCTGTATGCCCTTGAAATCTGGGAACACGGCCTCCTGCGTTGTTTTGACTGCAGCGTTTTAATCTAGTGGATGCATACACCACGTTGCATTCACCCATTTCCTTGCTGATGGGACTTCAGAGTGTTTCCAGGGTCTCCTGTCACCAGCACCCTTGTGCACGTGTGCTGCTACACTACCTGTACCAGCATGTCCCAGAAGATGTACCCTTCAGAGGACTTGCCGGGTCACAGAGGAAATGGGTGCTTTTTCAGGGTTCAACTTTTCCACTCAAAGCAAGGGCTCTGGAGCAGGACTGTCTGCTTTCAATCCTACTTCTGAACTCAACAAGCCGAATGACCTTGGGCCAGTGCCTTAAACTCTCGCTGCATCTTTCATCACCCTTCAGAGGGCTCCACAAGAGGGCACTTCACTCCAAGGATGACAGTGAGGATGTTAGTGCTTATCTAGAAGAGCGCCACACACACAGCACCTGTTGCCCAAGTGGCTTTCCCTCAACCCTGCCACTTACCCTCCCAAAAGGGTCTTCAGTGCCACAGCACAGGCCCCGAAATCTCACACCGCTACGTGGGCCGCCCTGCCCCACCGCCTCAGCAGTGGGCAAAGCACTGATTTGCTCATAATTTCTCTCACGTTTGGGATGGTTCCAACCTGGTGTGTGAAAACCGAAATAGAGTTTCAGTTCACATCACCAGGATCAAGGAAGGCGAGAAACCTTTGGGGGGCCTTCGGGATCCCCTCTTCTCTGAAGGGACTCGGAATGGGGACATGCTGAGAGAGCAGGGAAAACCCCAGCCCATTCACTAAACCAGCCCCCCAGTAAAGTTTCCTGAGCACCGAGCCACCAGCCAATTAGGTCCCAACTCCTAATGATGATTGAGTTGTAGCAGACACCCTCCAGCCAGTCAATATGACAACTTTTTGCTCTCTGGCCCTTTAAGACAAAGTAGGCCCACCCCCACCAGGGACCAGAGACCAAAGAGTTTCTGGGGCCCCTTTCCCCATTGGGTGAGAAATCTTGTTGTGGAATAATGGTTGGCAGACCCGTTTGTGCTACATGCTTCTCCTCCACCCTGACGCTGCACCCTCACAAGCCCTCTGCCTGCCACCAGACAGTTCCCCGCATCTCTCCACTCTGTGCATGGAAAACTGGGCTCACCATTCCGACTCTGCCTGGAAAGCAGGCGCCTGGCCAAGCAAGGCGGAACCTGAAGGCATAAGAGAGAACCCCATCACCCTGAAATTCATCCGCCAGATGGGCCTGCAGCGTCCACTGCGTCAGCATGGTGGGATTTGGGACCACCCAGAGACCCTCCAGGTTATTGGCCAGGGCTTCCACAGGCCAACATACAAGGGATGTGCTGATTGGGGCTGGGCGGGGGGGGGGGCAATGAGCCTGCCGCGTCCTGGCGCCAAAGGTGCCTGGAAGTTGCGCATTGTTGCAGTCTGAGTGAGTTGTCCCTGGTGCCAGACCCAGGGCTTCTGCAGAAGTTTCGTTGCTCCTGCTGCCCGGCAGCAGCCTGTCCCGCCAAAGCCACCTTGCCCAGGGTAATTGTCTCGGCAGAAGCTAGACTTTTGGGGCTTAGCAACATGAGCTCCCTGGACGAGGACCAGGCCTCTGTTTCAAGGGTGGAGTTCCACCCAGAGAGAGGTCAGCAGGCCCGCACACTAGGCTTTGCTTTGGGGTCAGGGCAGAAGCCAGAGGGCAAAGGTGAGGGCCAGGGCCCCTTCCCAGACCCCGAGGGCTTTGTGGGCAACCAGCATGTGAGTGAAGGGCGGGGGCAGGTGCCCCAAGGCTGTGAAGGTAGACCTGCCTCTGGGGCCGCCTTTGAGGGGGCCACTCCAGCCCCCTTTGGCAACAGGGTTGCAGTGGCCATCCCGCAGTGGCTGACCAAGCCAGATGCCTGGGGTTTCTGCATTAGCCCCTTCCCAGAGAGCAGCAACAGACAAGTGTCGGCTGTGTGGTTGGACCCAGAGCCGGGTCCCAGGGATAGAGGCGCAGGGGCCCATGGCTGGGTGGGATCGCAGGTATCCCCCGGCGTCTCCTTGTACTTCAGGGGGCCTGAAGGAGGCGGTACCAGGGGAAGCCCTAAGCAAGGGGTGAGGTATAGGTCAAATGCCAGTGTGGGTCGCCAGCGTGCCTTTGAGGAAGGCCTGGACAGCTTGCCTTGGTCTGAGTCCGAGTCATCAGATGAGTTCAGTGAGAGGCAGCTGAGGAGGGTGAGCACTTGTCAGATAGGAGGAGGCTGGGCCAAACCCAAAAGCCTCAATGACACAGGCAGTCTCTGGAGAAGCCCTGTCAGGGAGGAGTTCCTTCCCATGCCAGGGCCTTGCCTGTCCTTCAGGTGCCGAGAGGCAGGACAGGCTGGTAGGGATCCGGAAGTGTCCTCTAAGGAAGCACACAGTGATTCCTGGGGAAAGGGGGGAGCAGGCCCAGCTACCTGCCCTTAGTTGCTGCTGCAGGTGGGCTGCCCAAGGCCACTCCTAGATGGAAAGTGGCCCAGGAGCAGAGGTCCCTGGAGGGGGGCCTCAGAAGTTGTCCGGGAGGGTTTCTTTCATTTACGGGGCCAGAGGAGAGGTTCAGGAGCTCCCCAGGATGCAGCCACCCTCTCTCGGATTTCTGCTGTTCCACTCTTGGGGACAGGCACCAGTCATGCCTTGACCCCTTTTGGAACCAAAGAGTCCAAGCCCACTGGCACTGGGCAGGAGTCTGTGGCCCAGAGGAACAGTGGGTCAGAGCCAGTGGTGGGAGAAGGAGATGACAAGGAGCCGAGCAGAGAACCATTCCCAGAGAGTGAAGTGAGTATGAGGCCATGCTCCTCCCTGCTCCCCACCCTTCTGCCCAGCCCTGCCTCCCTGCCTCTGCTCCCTCTGTGTGTCACTCAGTGTTGTCATTCGTTTCAGCAGGGCAGTCTGTAGGACACCACTCTGTGTGTGCTGGGCAACATACTGCACAATGGGCAAGTTTCCCAGCCTCCTCCACCAGAGAGGGGCTGGATGGAAGGGAAGGCTGGGGCAGGTGATTTGAAGGGGACCCCTGCAAAACTTGGGAAACAAAGCTCTAATGTTTAGGCCCATCAGCTGCCTGACTCCTTCTTCATAGGTGCTCCTGAGCCTCCCCTGCAGAGGGTCGGGACTTTCTGTGCACCCCACAGTTTTCTGCAACTCAGCTCTGCCTCCTGGCCCAGGGCTGCCTGAGGGAGGACATGCTGAGGAGATCAGTCTCAGAACTGCCTTCCCTCTTCCCTGCCCCACCCCAGCCCCTACACACACATGAGTGCACAGAAACCCATCCTCACCCACGCACACACATGCTGATTTCATATCAATGGGGACTTTTCGTTTTAGTCCCTGCCACATGGGCAGAGTACATCGTATCCTTGTGGGCATGGTGGAGAATGTGACAGAGGCGCTGTGAAGAACAGACACACCCAGGATACAGCAAACCTGGAGCCCCTGGCCCCGAGTGAAGAAGAAGTTCTGGCCAGTGGGCCTGCATGTTCCAGTGAGTCCTGTGGGTTTGCTGGGAGTGGAGGGGACAGAGGACCGGGAGGGAGACAACTGGCTCTCCTTCTGGCTCTAGCTCTGGCTCTGGCCCTGGCTCTGGCTCTGCCAGGGTCTCAGCCTTCCCCCTGCCTCCCTCTCTCCCTGGCCAGAAATTTTTCCCACAGGAAATAGGGTGTCAACAGAGCGGCAGCCAAGTGTCCTCATCTCCTGCATGAGATTTATGTGCACGGGTCATTCGTGGCAGTGTTGCAAACTGCAACTCCAGACCTAGAGTTTCAGCAGAAGAGGGCCTTCTCTGACAAACCCTGTTGGGCCACAGGGCGTGTCTCCCAGGGGCTGGTTGTGACTGCAGCTCTGCAAGCATCTAACCCAGAGCCACACACACTTTGGCGGACCGCAGCCCTGGGTGGGCTGCCCCTGGGACACAGGGCAGGGGGACCCAGAGAGGAGGGCAGAGGTGCTGGGCAGAGCAGGGGCACCTTGCTGCCAGCAGAGGGTGGTGCTGCCTCACGTTAGAACCCCCTAAGCCCCTCCTTCCTCCCTGGGAGCTGTGGAAGCTGGATTTTGTGTTCTTTCCCCCTCAGGTGACCTGGAACCTCCTGAGGAACTCCCAAGACCTGAAAGGCTGCAGCAGCCACAGCCACAGCCACAGCAACCATCTGGAGCAGAGGCTTGTCCTCAGGTAATGCTCTCTCTGGCTCCTAGAAATGCAGCCCAAAGTAAAAGATTTGATCTGTGTCTTGGTTAAGGAGATCTGTTCCCAACTCCACATCTCACCACCACCACCATGCACGTCCTGGAGGGCAAGTGCCTCCTTGCCCACTGAGGAGCCCTGGCAGGTCTTGTCCCCTAGGTGGGGGCAGGGGTAGTCCAGGGAAGTGGAGGCCTGAGTATGCTAACCATTTCTCTTTCTCTGGTGTCTGTTGACTAGTGCGAAGAGTTACAGAGAGAAATACTCGCCCTGACACAGCAAGTTGGTATGAGGAGCCCGTTGCCTTTGCCTGGGTCAGAGCCATGGGGAGGGTGAGAGATGCAGGTCCCAGGGACCAACATTCCTGTGGGGAGGCGAACCCAGCCGCTTGGACCTGGAGCCCTTTGTGCATGTGCAGCCAGTTCTCTGGACAAAGAGGGAAGTGTGGTTTGAAATGCAAGCACACTGTGCCAGCCACAACCAGCCCCAGAGCTCTCCTTCCCTAGGATGTTTAGAGACGCTGCCTCTCTGATGTTCCCTTCAGTACTGCTTGGTATGGCCTCTGTGGGTCTTGTTTGTCTGACAAGTTCTGAGTGGTTCTCATATGCCCCAAAGCTTGAGCACTCCTGGGCACATGTTGTTCTCCTTGGAAAATATGTCCACCTTGCATTCAGGTGGTGGGGGAGTGAGTTACGCCCACTGCAGGGTAGGGTTGTGAGGGGGGTCTCAAGTTGTAGGGAGAGGTGCCTTGACCCAGGGACAAGGGGGATGGGCTTCAGTATCACTCTCTCGGGAATGACTGCTTATGCCTCTCTGTTTCAGCGACCATGCAGGCCCTGGCTGACAAGCTCCAGAAACCTTGATGTGAGTATGACACACACCATCTACCCCTTCGCCCAAGTTGTGGCTGCTGAAGAGTGCTGTGAGCTGACCCTGGGTGGATGTTCCTCCCTGACTCTGCTCTGTTTGACAGGTGGAACCTAGCACCTTCATGCAAGAACAGCAGTTGGTACCCTTGTACCCCTTGAGCTGTGGCCAAGCTGGATCCCTTCTGTTCCACTTCACACAGGGCTTCGTTGCTCCCTTTATTTCTCTTTTACTTCCTCCCCCAACCCCCGTTTGTGAACAATTTACATTAAAGTTTTTCTGAAATTCTGTGGTCTCTGTTTGGGGTGGAGTGTGTGGACGTGGGATTTGGGGCTGGGAGGGCCTGGAGCTTCTCCATCTCAGAGCTTCTTGCAGAGCAGTAGGCCTGGCATTCTGTGGTGGGCTTTTGGCATGCAAGGTTTCCGGGCCAGCATGTGATAGGAGCCCTGCAGTCAGGCCACCTGATACCTTGGTTCTGGGCTCTGGGTGGCTCTGCCTGGCCACATTGGCATTTCCTCCCTTGTTTGTCACTGAGTTTTCCCTCACCTTCAGGAACTCATGGCCCCCTTCCAGAGTCCATTCCCTCTACCCGCGGTCATCTGTTACTGGGTGTTTCATCTGCCCTACATTGCTGTCTGAACATCCACGATCTCCCACATGGCTTTCCACACCGGCCTTGCCCGAACCTATATTTCAACAGGTGTAAAAGTGCCCAGTTGAGCTCCTCTGCCCGCTTCCCAGGACCTGTCACTGTGGAGTCCTTCCCTCCCTCTGGGGCCCCTGTGCACATGGACACCTCAGCCAGACACCTGTGGGTTGTTTTCCTACCTTTAGCAGTCACCTTTGAGCCTCAGCTATGAGTCCTGTCATTTCCTTTCTTGGATTTAATGGAGGGGTGGGGGCAGAAACCACAGACCAGGGTCTTCTAGACCAAAAGGGAAGGTTCAAGGGTCATGGAGAAAAAAGGTGTGAATTGGCCTCTCACCAAAGGTCAGGGAATCAGTCCGTTGTGCTGGGTGTTGGCCATGTTCCAGAAGGAGCATTCACATCCTTCCTGGCCTACCCAGCCAATGCTCCTCCTGTAGCCTAGTCACCTCTACACCCTCCAGTGCAAAGTGGCCAGCCAGTGTCGATGGTGATGGCACTTTGGAAGTCTTGCTGTTGTTGAAGGGTGTCTTTCAAATCATGTTTGTCTTCCCTGTGACACACGTTTTCATGGCAATGGTAGTTCTGAGCCCCAGCTCAGTCTCCTGCACTCCCTCCGTAGGCCACACAAGGTTGAGTGTGACTCTGTTCAATTTCCCCTTCACTGACAGCTGGGAATTGGTTCCTTCCTTCAGCCAGCACCCAGAGCTGTGTGAGCCTGGGACCCAAGACACACTTGTATTTCAGAGGTTTGGGGGTTGGGTCTGCCAGACTCCATTCCCAAGAGACTGGTGTTTAATATGCAAACAGAGGACCATAGTGCCTAGAACACTCGAGGTAGGGTATGGGTGTGTTTGCTCGTGTGTGAGTCTGTGAGTGAATAAAACTAGCCAGGTCTAATGTTCCTTGAGGAGAAACATGTGGATAGGAAGTAAGTCAAGATACTTAACACATGCAGGGAGCAAAAGCCAGGGTGGGATCTACTTTTATCAAGGGGCAGTGTTACATCGTCAACACATTGTAGGTGGGGAGTATACAGAAGTCATGCCTTGTACAGGAAGGGTGTCCAGAATATGAAAATGTCAGAGTGGCTGTAGGTGGCTGTGGATGGTACTGTTCGGACCTGTGATGTCTGACCACTCCTGGTCAGGGAGAATGGGGAGGTGGCCGCCTCACACCAGAGAACAAACCTCATCCCAGAGGCAGGGAGCTCACGTAGGAGACCGCCGTCACATGGCCAAGCAGGACAGAGGCAGCATGGGTTCAGGGAAGAAGCAAAATACAGTGACTACACCTGGGCATTTGGGCACCATCAGTTCCACCACCCTCCACATTCTCACCCTGTCTCTCACCTGTGCCCTGTGCATAAGCTGAGGTGGACACCCCATCACCCGTGGGATGGGACGATTACAGACCTGGGGCCATAAAAGAATGTTTGTGGGACTTCATCCTTCTACTTCAAATCCTTCATTTGAGAAATTAGGCTCCATTGCTCAGGCTGTGCCTGTGTCTCTGACCCAGGGGTTATTTCCTGGTGGGGGTGACATGCTGTCTGAGTGAGTAAGTTTGGAAGAGACTTTCCACATGGGCTTTCTGCTGACATAGACATGCAGGCAGTCCAGCACAGGCATTGCACTGGGATCCCTGGGGCCAGGATGGCGAGACTGAGGAAGGCGAGAAGTGCGCCAAAGGGGTGGTGGGAGGCAGGGACACAACCTGCAGTGGATCGTTTTGCCTACCTCCCTTGCCTCCTTCAGCACATGCTCTCCCACTTGCATGTGGAGACCAAGTAAGGCACAGTAATGCTGCTGTAAGTTTGCACGTCACAGGTCGCAGGCCATCTCAGTGCCTTCCAGTTCCCAGGGGAAATAAGGGGCAGGTACTGAGGCATAGATTAAAGACACACACATCGGGGTCCCATGGAGAATGATGAGGTTGAACCCCAGCCCTGATTCAGCGTGCCCCTTGTGCCTTTTCCTTCCAACCTCTCCAAGCTGGGAGGTAGTGGTGGCTGTCCTGGAGAGCCCTCCCTCCCAGCCAGCCGACATCTGCTACCTGCCGAGTTCCTGGGCAGACCCCCATCCCCACCCCCAAGTCAACCACCACCACAAACATCACCCTCAGCACTACCTCGACCAGCCAACTGTTCTTAGCAGGTTCTGGGAAAGTTGCCACACCCAGACAGTGTAAGAGGAGGTGAACACAAATAGGGAGCTGAGAGTGGCGGGCAGAGAAATCGTGCCCAAAGACAACCACGTCCTAATGATCCAAATCAGCTAGTATGTTGTCATGCATAGAAATGGGGTGTTACCTTTGCACATGCGACACTCGTGCTACCCAACGGACTTTAAGGTAGGGTGTTTTTTCTGGATTATCCACTCAGCCTCAATATCATCTCAAGGCTTTATGGTGGCAGAGGGAGGCAGGAGTATAGGCCACGGTGATGCACTATGAGCAAGACTTGATCCTGCATCACTGGCTTGGAAGATGGAGGAAGGCAGCCATGAGCCAAGGGAGGCAGGCATCTTCTAGAGCTGGAAGGATGGTGAGATTGATTTCTTCTAGATCCTCCAGAAGAGCACGCTGCCCTACTGACACCTGGACATGAGCCCAGTGGTTTCTGTGTCTTAGCCTGCCCTCCAGGAGTATAATTCAATAAACTAGTGTCCTTTTTCAGGCCCTCAGTTTGTAGTGATTTGTGTGGCAAGAATAAGAAAGTAATTCTCTAATGGATAACAACATTTCAACGGCCACTCAGCTCAGAAGGGGGTTCTGGAGATCTGTTGACACGTGTGTCCAGTCTTGATGCAGTATGTACCGTGTGCCAGGGATCTCAGGTTTTCATTTCCAAATAGGACCTTGAACTCGGCAAGCAACGTAGATGGTCTCTTGTATGATAACCTCTTCAAGTGTGATAACTTTCCCCCAAAGAAACGGCTGGTAGGTGGTGGAATCAGGATTTAAACTCTGGTCTATGCGTTTATGTAGATCTAAACAGAGCCGTGCTACTCATAGAAAATGAAGTATGTTGCAGGAATAGAATGCTGCACAGTTCTGACCAGAAAAAGAAAAACAAATTTGTATATACACTATAATCACAACTATGTTAAGTATGTATATAAAAGGTTAAAAACTCAAGAAATGTGCAAAATATCTAGAATCAAGTTGCACTAAAACATGAATGTCCAGGATGGGTTTCCAGTGGCTCTGAATCTTTTTTGGGTTATGGAACCTGTATTAGTCTGTTTTGGCTGCCAGCACAAAGTACCACAGGCTGGGTGGCTCAAGCAACAGAAATTAGTTTTCTCATAATTCTCGCTGCTAGAGGTGTAAGCTCAGGGTGCCAGTCAATTGCATTCCTGCTGAGAGTTCTCTTCTTGGCTTGCAGATGGCCAACTTCTCTTGTGTCCTCACATAGCATTTCCTGTGTGCACATGGGGAGAGAGAGAGAGAGAGAGAGAGATGTGTGGTGTCTCTTCCTCTTGTTCTAAGGACACCAGTCCTATCAGATTAAGGACCCACTCTTAAGACCTCATTTATCCTTAATTACCTCCCTAAAGGCCCCATCTCCAAATACAGTCATCTTGAGAGTTAGGGCTTCAATATAGCAATTTTAGTGCAACGCCATCAAGTACATAACAAGATTCCTTTGAGAAGCTGATGAAAGCTTCTCCACCCTTTTAAGAAGACTGTCTGCATCACCTCCCGTACTTTTGCACACAATTTCGGGAAGTTCCCAGACCTCAGGTTGAAAACCAGTGTTCCAGGCCACCTTCCTCTTTGCACAGATGGAGAACACAGAGGTTCAGAAAGGGGAAGTGGTTTTCAGCAGGTTAGGAGAGAGCCAGGACCCCAGATTCCTCATCCAGTCCTTGCCCTACCTTACTTTGATGTCTATTAGGCCTGGTAGGTCAACTAACCAGGGTGACCCTGGCACATCACAGGTCCTGTGGGCAGGGTAAAGAGGGCAGTGCTTCTTCACCTGGGATGTTCACATGGGTTAACAAGGCTCTGGCTGTGACGGACAGCAAATGGGATAGATTTTGGTGCTTCAAACTAGTCGGGAGGTTGGGAAGAAGCCGTGCCATTCAATATCCATTCACCAGAGGCCTGAATGTGAGGAGTTGGAAGTGCTTCAGTCCCGCTGAAAGACAAAGGGAGGCTGAAGAGGCACAGCCATGGACTGTCTGGTGGCCTTGACATGGCACTGTCCCTGTAGCTCTCCAACTGCTCACTGTATACTCTCCAAGAATCGGCCTGCTACATTTCTGTGAGACTTCTTCCAGCTCTAATATTCCGTACTTCTTGGAATCGGGAGCAGGAACCATGGAGAAAACACCCGTTGAGGCATTTGGGTCCTGGAAGCAGGGGCAAAATGTCTTTCCCCACTAAAACATCTTCTGATGGTTTTAATAGAAGTAGCAATAAAGAGAATGTAGTTGAAAGAGATGAAAAATCCTCCACGAGAACCTGAGAAGACTCTTTAAATACTTAAATAGTCACTTAAAGGAAAGTTTCAACAGAAATGTTTCCTCTATTTCTGCTCCAGGACCATCCTTAAGTGGGAAGGTAGCTTGTAGCTGGACCCCTAAACA